TTCTTCTTCCTCTCGTCCCTTCGTTTCCTTTCTTTCAAACTCCTCTGTTTCCCTTCGAAACGATTCAGTTTCCTTTGCTAACGGTAGCTCCCATGGTGCTAAACTCAATCCCTCCTCCACATATCCTTTAACAAACAAGAAGGAAACACAAATAACACCATTTTTGCCTTCTTTCTCATCCTCGAAGTCCATTTGCAGAGCTGGTGATTACAAATTCCCAGACCCAATTTCCGAATTCGCTGATGCTGTAAGTTCCTTCAATTGCTATTACATTTGTTTTTGTCTTATGAAAATTTTTTATTTTGTTGGTTGGGTTTTGTTTTCCTACTTGTTTGTGGAATTCAGGAAACGGAGAAGTTTAGGACCCATCTGCTAAAGAAACTCTCCAAGAAGGATATGTTTGGGGATTCACTTGAAGAAGTTGTAGGAATCTGTACTGAGGTACTTTGTTTTCCCAATTGTAGAAATTGTTTTGTTATAGCTGTTTTCTGGGTGACTGCTTTAGAATTGTTTACATCTATGCATGGAATGCTGGGGAGGAAGAAATTGGACTAAAAATCGTTTTCAAAAACATTTGCAAATCAGGACAACTAATGGGATGGGCAATGTTTTTCCATTCAACTCAGTTCTGCTTGATAAAATTTCTGGCTTCATTTCTCTGCAAGATGGTAGCTTTGTTGAAATGGATGAATATAGTAGGTTTAAATGATGATGATAAACTAGCTAAATCTTTGTCTGCGCTGCTTTCATCTTGACCTGAGTTCTTTCTTTGATCTGATCTGTGGGACACAACTCAAAGAGGAGCCTTTTAGTAGTTCACGGTAAAATACATCCATACCAACAAGAGATTAGTCAAGTTGTTATCCACTTCTTTGTGGTTACTCAAAAGAAACTGTAAAATACATCTACCAAGTCGCTAATTCTAGACTTACACAATGATTTCAATTAAAGTTTTACATTGTAATTTACTTTTTTATGGTTGTAGACTATCTCCTCTGTTGATTCCACTGACATGCTGTCAATAATAAACCTCTACTTTCCCAGCTTGTTCTTGGGTTTAAGATGACTGAATAATGATTGTATTAAGTTTGCTGCTTCTGGTGCATGGATTTGTCAATTCTTCTAGGCACTAAACCATGTTACCCTGCATTTTTTCTAAGCAGATATTGAGTACTTTCTTACATACTGAATATGGTGGCCCCGGAACACTCCTGGTCATACCTTTCATTGACATGGCTGATACCCTTAATGAGAAGGGATTGCCTGGAGGACCACAAGCTGCACGAGCAGCAGTCAAATGGGCTCAGGATCATGTCGATAAGGACTGGAAAGAATGGACTGGTTCCACCTAAAACAAAAGCCCCCTTATAATAGTTAGTTCAGGGCCTTCAGGCATTAAAAAGATTGAACCCTTGCAGTGCATCCCCGTGAAACTGACAGGCAATACTGTTTAGTGTGAAGATGATGAGTCAGAAATGAAGCTTGTGCAATTTTTGTTGTCGAAGTTGTTGTGTAGCTTGCAAGAGAAGAAGAGCCCCTTTTTTTTAGACTTCCTGGATTTGGAATTGTTATATTTCCATCTTTTTGGAATGATCATTATAGCAGCATTATTCAGTCTATAAAACATTTTGAGTTATGTACTTGCCACTTTTTGGTTTAGCTATTTGTTATGATCTGTAGGGACAATCCATGCTTGATTAACGGAAATAGGCCCACACAAGCATATGCCCCCTCACTCGAACTTCTTTAATGAGAAAGAGTACACCACTGCCATGTCAAAGAATTGAACCACCAGATGTGGAATAGAAGGCAGCATAGAATCCCACATCGCCCGTAAAGGATAAGAAATGCCCCAGCACGTACCGTAAAATGTCATTCCTGCCACCCTCCCAAATCACGCAGCCACGCAGTGAGCACAGAGCGAACTATTCTTTCGCCTTTTACTAAAGAATACCGTGTGCTCGCTGCATATGGTGGCATACGCCAATTTTTGGAGGGCTAACCTTACGGGATGAGCCCAACAATTCCAGTTTAAAGGTTTTTGATTGCACTGGAAAGGCAAAGTTTGCACTGTGCGCCAAGTGGTTAAGGACTGTCGCTTGGATGAGTTTGTTTTTGGTTTTTCCAAACGAGAGAAGATTTCACGGTTGGTATGTTTATTGGTGTTTTGTACGGTGTAATGGAAGGTGTATACCCATTGGTTGGTTAGCCTTTACAATATTCAAAATCCTATTAAGAAACAAGGTAATCAGATATCTGAGGCATGGAAAAGTGCGTGATTGTATTTCATGCTACACTAGAAACCTGAACCATCCATCACATCTCTTCCCTATCAATGAAACGTTCCAGGAGCTCTTTCTCTTGCAAAACCAAGCAATCTTCAGCCTTGCCAAACCAACCATAACGTCGCTTAGCCACGTAATCATAGACAGCATCCCTAAGTGGAGTTGGGATTGTCAAGAACGTGCTTAAAGAAGAGTAGGGGAATGGCAAGTATGACAGCGCTCGCAATGTAGCTGCAGAATAAGTGACAGTAAGGGTTAGCTTTCAGGGGAGCAACAGAAGCATGCTAGAAAAGAAACAGCCACGGTATGTGATAAAATTCTTGTGACCATTCTAAGCAGTAATTTAGAACAAATATTAAGATGTTTTGTCCTCCAGAATATAGTCATTTAATGGGGAGAACAATCAAGCAGATACAGGAAAGCACAACATGCTATATAGTGTTTAAATGGTCACATTTTCACCTGTCATCTGCAATCCATGATTCTAGATTTCCACTGTGCAAAGACACTTAATGGCAAAATGGAAGATTCTCAACGTTGTCCATGATAACGACATTCAAAAAAAGCCCCACAAAGTGCAAGCGTTACGACATACTTATTTCAATAAGAAGAGAATGAAATAACATCTTCAAAGGTCATCCAGCCCTAATCTCCCCTTGAACCAGTAAATATAATGTAAAACAATTCCCAAACATATAGAAAGGACTAAGGCAAGTCATTAACCAGTTGATCAGAGAGCTAACCAGTTGATCCTTGGTGATAGAGACCAGGGCCTTCAACTAACAGAAAACGGCGCAGAACATCCTCCCTATCAAGACCGCTAACTTTCAGATATGGCTCAGCTACTTTTGACTGAAGGCAACAAAACTTGATGTGCCTGTATTTATCCACTCCGATGAACCACTTCACCCTGTGAAATGAAAAGGCTGGCATTGGTAAAAGAGGACTTGTTTAAGATCACCACACTAATTGAACACCAGTAACTGAAGTGAAATGAATTATAAGCTAGAAACAGAATTTAAACTTCTTTGGATGAATAAATAAAATCTCCATTACATAATCAACAGAAGAAGAATGTTTGTGTTGGTAAACTTGGACTGAAATTGAAAACTAAAATTTGTATTTTTGCAAATTAGGTTTCAAGTCATCTCCTGGACAACAATTCCATCATTGTGACTATTTGATAAATTAATACAAAGCAACATCTGCATTCATTTCTACACAATTCCCCTTTTGATTAGCAGAGATCAAACTATTATATATGTAAAACTTGGAAAATTGAGTTCGAATCGCATAATGATGTCAAAATCCCCCAAAGCAAACACGGACGTTAATCCCCATTTTAATTAGTAAAGCATCATAAACAAAAATTCAGTCATGGGGTTGTTGGCTTATCCAATCAACAAGCACGAGAAAAAGAAAAACACCCACCTCGGTGGCAAAGATGGCAGACCCCATCATACACGACGACACCCGGCTGAAGAATATCGGGCAAAACCGGCTTTACGGTAGAAGATGCTGGTGGGTTGGAGTAAACCAGAACCTCGTCCTCTTCAGAAACATCGGCAACATCAGCAGCACTTCCAGAAACGAAGCGGGTCGACGGTAGAGTTGATGAAAGAAACCGACAGTGGAACGTATGGCACGACATCGCAGAAACCGGCACTGCGGCTTTAGCTCTCACCATCGTCCAATTTGCGATTGGCCTCAACATTCTCCCAGTTTCCGCAGGCAAGGACCAACGGAGAATTCTCGCAGTTGTTTCCAAGTTCTTAGGGGGATTTTGAAAAGGTGAGAAAATGAGGGCATTCAGTACCTTCCTTGATATCCAAGTCGGTTCCGGGGAAGCGGGAAGCTGTCCCGGTAAAAGAATTTTCTGTCCGATTATTGTTATTATTATTATTTCCGGCAGCATCCTTTCCGTCCGTGTCCGATGGATACAGATGAGTTTTACCGTCCGATTTTACGTGTTTCCCGATGAGATTATTGGTTTGTTGCTGCTACCAAGAAATTCCACATGGCCGAATTTCCTAGGCTTTCCATTTGTTTAGGAATAAAATAATAAAAGGCACAAATTTTATGACACTAACATTTAAGATAAATAATTTAGTTAATATTATATTATTTAAAATATTAAAAAAAAATTTATATTATTTAATAATTAACTTTTTTTTTTTTTTTTTTTAACATATTTGCAAGGGACGGGTTTCGAACCCAACCCGAAAAAGGAGGAATGCACCGAGTGGCTATTGCCACTAGGCCACAAAGGCCAGGTGCATTTAATAATTAACTTTTTAAATTTAATTTTATTATAATTCATGATATAATATACATTAATTATTTATTAACATGACTTATTGCATTATTAGTATCAAATTTTCTCCTTTATATTACTACTCTTTTTTTAATGATCATATGGTCCATTTTCTACAACTCCGACTATATCATATTACAAACAAGGGATCCTAGAGCCCTTTTCTACTCTTACCAATGACTTCAATGATAATTGCAACACCTTATCAATCATTTTCAAAAGCCCTATAAAAGTAGAAAAGGGGAAATTTTTGAATGTAAATTATACTATGGCTATTTATTTATTATTGAGAGGCTATTTTGAGTTTCCTTGTGCCAAATAATCTCTTCATGTTGTCAAAACCATAGTATCTAGTAGCCCTTGGGGCCAATATGAGGAACACTGAGTCTAACTGAGCTTGTTCCTTGAATTTCTAGACCGTCCTGCATCTTAATCATGCGTTCCGGAATCGACCTGCAAAATACCTGTTCAGTGCAATTGTTTGAGCTGTTAGCATAATTCTTCCTGGATTTGACCATCTGCAACAGCATCAGCAAGATCCCATAAACATCGAAGTTTATTCCAATAGAAACAAGCTGACCAAAGGCTAAATAAATCAGGTAGCCTCACCAGCAAGCTTGATAGCCAAGTTTGCTTGAGCATCGACCTCACTGTTCAGTTCCTTTCCAAGGTGTGCATGAAAACGTCAGAACTTTGCAAAGCACCCAGAAAACAAAATGTACAAGCAACATGAACAATCTTATCAATGCCAAAGAGGAGCATAAATAATATACTTATCAGACAAATCAGTAAATAGATTATGATGGTTGAGACCCACCAAGTAAAACAAGCCTTATAAACAACTAATGTTGTACAACTAAGTCCATAATGTATTTTCTATTATTGGGATTTGTTCTCCTTTCAAATTATAAAAGACCACATAAAAGTTTAATTAAGGCCTTTATGTTCCCCATAAGTTGTCATGATAAGCTAAAGTATTGAGGCTGCTAAAGTATTGAAGCTGATAAAGAAAGCATAACATGTGATCTCGATCCAATTCTATTGTGCCAAAAGAAAAAAAAAAACAAAAGGAAAGTTGACAATATTCTGAATGTAACCCACAGAGTGATATAAGACATAAAATGAACATGCCCTTAAAACATGGTTGATCTCAAATGAATGAAACTTATCTTTCAGTTTCTTAGCCTCCTTATGTAACTCAGACTTGGCTTGGTGTTTAACTTTCCATAGGTCCTGAATCTGTTCAAGGCAACATCCTCTATAAGAATATTGGTAATTTTTTGTTATATAATCAAAATATATGGAAGTAAAGCTCAACAATATATATAACAACTGTAATATGAAAACCACTACATCCTGCTAATTGGTCCAGAGCCTCCAGACATAACCACAAGACACCTTTTCAGTTTTTCCTGAGATTATGGGCACAGATAGAACAAAAAAAACTTCTTTATCTTTATACTTATATATATATATATATAGATATTCTCAGTAAAAAAGTAGAGGAACCATGAGGTATTGAAAAAAAGTAGAGGAACCATGAGGTATTGACAGAGTAAATATTCTTCCAATGGATGTCTTCTCAAAGAAATTCTTTCCAAAATGGATTAATTCGTCTCTGAAGACAGTGTTTATTCAAAGCATGACTCCATGTAGACAACAATAAGCCAAGCTAAGTTGAGCAGACAAATGTGGAAAGGCAAGGAAGAGGAAAGGCAAACCTGCATACAAACAAGCTTTGAGTCACCTTGAACACAGATGCTTGTATAACCCTTTTTAAGAGCATATTTCATCCCTAAAATCATAGCGCGATACTCAGCTACATTATTGGTTGCTATGCCCAATCCCTCATGCAATTTACAAATATGTTCAACCAGTATGATATATAGAGAAAGCTACTAAGTATCACAATTTCCTAATGGCAAAATTCATACCAAATGTCCATCATTAGTTCACAGAATAGCTGCTGCACCTGCCTGGCCAGGATTTCCTCTTGATGTCCATCAAACTCAAGAACACAAGACTTCTGTGGACATAATTACCTAGATCACTATTTATTAACCTTATCACTTAACCTAGTAATTTAATGGAGAATTTCTCTTATATCTACTAAAAATTAATCTACTAGCAAGATACTTTTGAAGAAAGCCCGCCAGCAATTGGATCTAGGATTCAACTTTTTCGTTCAACCGTTGAATAGGAAGAAAATGATGGCCAAAAAAGGGAAAGAAAACAGGAAAAGTGCTGCCCAGACAATTTGCATCCTTTTGCTGCAACAACAGAAGCAAAAAGGATGGTGAAGAGCATATGTAGAGGAAGAGAGGATAAAGTGACTTCCTTGATACATCCATGAGGTATTTAACATCAAATCCAAATACCTGATTGGAGGAAGCTGCTTGAACCTCGGTATGATTATATAACTTGGCATGCTTTCTCAAGGGATCAACTGTGGACATTGAATCAAGTGCTTCCTGCAAAAGTATAAAAGAGACAGAGAAGCTAGTACTTTAAAGAACAGTTGAAACGTGATCTTAGCAGTTGGACTAGGTGACGGAAAAGATTTAAAAATAAGGCCACATTTACTCAGTAATTCTCCAGATTTTACAATGTTGGAGTTAAAAAAATGTAGAAATGACAACCTATCCCAGTCTTCAATTCAGGTATATCCCCTGGTCTCTTTTTGGATGTAGTCTTAGAGGATGATTCACCCTTAAACATAGCTGGGTCCTGAAAAAAAAAAAAAAAAAGAAAGAGAGAAAAAAATTAACTTTCAAAATTATGAGTCTATGTTCTTTTTTCATTAGAGCTAAGTAGATCTAATATTCCATGTAGGTATACATGGGAAGGTAATCCATTTATCAATGTGAAAATTGATGATTGCCATTGACTCTTGAGAATTAAACCTCAAATATGGCTAAGCAATTGATATTCAAAAAGGGTCAACTTGAACGTCAAAATCATCCAATGTGCTTCCTATGTATTACTACAGTCTTCAAATTCATATCTAGTGAATGAAATAGAGTGAATATTTAAAAGGAACTAATAAGAGAAAGAATACAAATAGATTTGTGTCCCATACAGAATGTAAAATGATGATCCGCTCTGATCACCAGAGATCTGGGAATCAAGGTGAAATTGCTTTTGGCGTTCCAAAAACAACACAAGTGCATGATGTGCACATACATAGAAAGTGAGAGAAAGAGATTCACGTTTGTTGTCTTACTTGAATAGGGCAGGGCACAAGCGTGCCAAAAAGATCCTCTTTTAAATCTGCAGCTGTAACTCTTGTAAACACCAACAACATCCCCCTTGGGCCTGACAATCAGCTAAACTCTTGTAAACACCAACAACATCCCCCTTCCTCACAACAAAGAATGCATCTTTCTCTTGTTCCATAACGAGAGGCTTTTCCCTTACTACTCTAAGAAGAATAGCACTTAACATGAAATCTTGTCAACAAAAACTCCAATCAGTTGTCCTAATGCCCGTGCACTCAAAATTTCTTTTCCATGGTGATGCACAAAAATTCAGTCAACCTATTCCTTGCAATGAAATGGCCAGCCCTTCTAAATATTGGTGCACCATACGAACAAACCAGCAACAAACAATTCATCACAGAGTATAATATCCCCAGATTGTATAATATGCCCATATTGTCTATATTCCAAGAGGGAAGAATCATTAATCAAAGAACTCTCCTCCAAAAAATTTTCACGATGAAAGGCACTTGATTCATTTATCAGAAACAAACAAACAGTACTTAAGCAAGCAAACAGTACTTCAGCAATGATATTTTTATCAGAAACTCTAATGGAAATTGGTTAACAAGACGGGGTAATCGGAAAAAAGAAGTGCATGGAAGAGTAGCATCCATACCGGACCGGGTCATCGGCGACGGGCTCCGGCGTCGGAATCTTTCTTCTTCGCTGTTGCGGTTCCTAAAAAGTTTGAACCAAAGCGATATGGGTCTGGGTTGAAGGTGGGTTTTGCCAATTTGGGCTTTGAGGTCTAAATTAGATCTGGCCCAAAAGGTATTTGTGACCATCGTAGCGAGACAGCAAGTAAACTATATGAGGAAAAATGTTTCCTAACAAGGGACATCAAGGTGTCGTGGTGTAGTTGGTTATCACGTCAGTCTAACACACTGAAGGTCTCCGGTTCGAGTCCGGGCGACGCCATCTATTTTTCATTTTAATTTCTTTCTGGATTTGATTTTTTAATATGGGCCAGTTTTTAACTCGATTACGGAGCCCAAACAGTTTGGTCCAAAGAACAACGATTTATGGCCCATGGTGTGGAAGAAAAGGGGCATGAAATTCTTACCTAGTAAGCCAGTTCCTCTTCCTTCCATTGATATGATTTTTCTTCGTACAATTCCCATTGGGGGATCAATTCATTTTTATAGTATATAAAAATCACCACAAAAGTCTTATTCAGGCTCTGCATCAAACAGTCAGGAGTTGGCATGCCTTTATTTTCAAACACTGTAGTGCTTGCTAGTCTGCTACCCCTTTCCAAAACACTGAATGCAATAATTTCATTGTTTGAGTAAGCCCCTGAAGAAAGTACAATTTGTTCTGCTCCTGCAGCTCTGCTTACAGACAAATGAGTAAACACACAC